AAACTCTAAGCCAGGTACCAGTGGTTCATGCCTGTAATCCTAGCTACTTGGGAGGCCAAGATCTGGATGATCACAGTTTGAAGCTAAACTGGGCAAAAACTTTGCAAGACTCCATCTTGACCAATAGATAAGCATGGTAGCACACAGTCTGCTACCCCAGTAGGGGCAGAAAGTGTAAATAGAAAGACAAAGGTCCAGGCAGGCCTGGGAAAAAAGTGAGACCCTATCTCAGTAACAATCAAGCCAAAAGGACCAGAAGTGTGGCTCAAGTAAAAGCTCCTGCCTAGCAAGTGTGCAGCTCTGAGATCACCCCCCATGCAGTCAATAAATAAACAAACAAACAAATAAATAAATACTAAGGCCTTCAGGGTCCCAACAGGTAATGCAAGTCTCAAACCTAAGGAGTACAGTGGCAGAAACAAGACCACTTGTTCCACCTAGAAACATTAACAGGTTTCTTTCTGAAACAATGAAACTGCCAAACAACAAAGTTATACAGGACAAATTTTGACCAAAACCTGTTTCCATATAACCAGTGATTTCATTTTCACTTCCCAGAGTCAGTGTATCCCATGGTAGCTATATACTAAGGCCCATGCATGACATTTTAAGACACAAACACCTCCTTTTAAGAGTAAAAACATAAGCTGGCTGAGTAGGTAGTAGGTGGGTAGACAGTGAAGATTCTCTTCTCTCTTTCTGGCCTAAACTATAAAATTCCAATAGTTAGACCCAGCAATCACAGGTATAGTCAATACACCTATGGTCCATGCCTGGGAAATGAGACCTAAAATGTCAAGGATGAGAAAACAACACAGCTGCCAACAGAGAAGAAAAAAATTTTTTTGACTTTTGGAAAATTAAAAAAGCATTTATTTAGGCTGCATGTAGTGGTACATGCCTGTAATTCTAGGTACTTGGGAAGACAAGATTGGGAGGATCAATGTTCAACGACAATCTCCAGCAAAAATGCAAAGCCCTATCTAAAAATATAACCAAAGCAAAAAGGGGTTGGGGACATGGCTCAAGTGCCTAGTAAGGCCCTGAGTGTAAATCCAGTCAATCATCAATCAATAATACATACATACATAAATTTTTAAGAGCACTTATTTACCTTGACTGGGATACTGGGTTATAGAGATGCATACACTTGTCAAAAATCATCAGGTGTGCTCTTTAGCTCATTTCAATGTATATAAATCTCTTGCTCATTACAACACAAATTTTATCATAATTTTAAAGTGCACTTTTAGGTATATTTTAATGAAGCCTGAAACAGTATATAAAAATGGTAAAACAAGAACAAAGGGTATAAAAATGAAAAAAAAAATTATGTGAACGTGAAGAACCGTTTTTTTCTGAATCTAAAATAGCATATTTTATCAATATTTTGAAAAAGCTCAGTCTATTAAAAAAGAATATACTACATAATACTTGTATTAATTTACTCAAAATATATGTGAGTGCCTAGTTTGCTCAAGAAACTGTGCTGGGTGTTAGAGACACCATGGTTATAGACACTGCTCTGACCCTAAGTTCAGCCATGCAGTACAGCTAGTACAGTAGTCCTCTGTACCATGTTTTTGCTTTCAGTTACTCTTGGTCAACTGTGGCCCATAAATATTAAACGGACAATTTTAGAAATAAACAATTTTAAATTTAAAATTGCACACTGATCTAAGTAAGGACATGAAATCTCACATTTCCACTGTGATCCTCCTGATGTGAACCAAACCTTTGCCCAATATCTTACTTTGCACTGGCCAATACGTTCACCTATACTGTCTCAATGTTGTGATCCACGTATCACATTACTCCACTGCTTTTTGCTCAAGCAGTCCTTATTTTAATAATGGTCCCAAATTGCAAAAAGGAATGAGTACATTGGGGGACTAGTGTAATCACTGTTATAAATGCTACAAAGGCATAGTTCTGTCTCAAATGTTTCTAAAATGTTTCCTTTCTTCATGTGATTTGCTCCTACTTATCCTTTAACTCTTCACATTTCTTGTCAGCTTTTCATGATTCATGTATTACTCCCTGTTGGTTGCAGTTGTCTTTATTTTGCCCAGAACTAAGTCTTGGCATTCTAAGGTGAGAGGCAAGGGTTTAAGCAGGGCAGGGATATAATTAGATTTGAGCTTTAAAACTCTGGGAGAAATATGAAAAAAAGCATAAGAGCCCAGTGCACATTTAAGACTAGTTATATACTGAATACTCTAAGAGAGAAACAAAGGTGGACTTGTCTTAGATAATAGATGTGAAAGCAAAAGAAATCAGATTCTAGCAATAGATGATGATATGAATAACTATGATATGAATCCAGATTTCTGATATGAATAACTAGAATGACAGTGATTATGAGTGCATTTGGACATGCCAAATTTAAAGTTCTTTGCACACATGAAGGCAGTTATCAACTAAACAGATGTCATACATGTCTGACTTTCAGAATATGAGGCTGTATGCATAATTTGGGAGTCATCTGCAAAGAGGTATGTGGAGCAATAGAAGTAATGAAGTGAACACAGTGCATCAAGAAAAGTCAAGGACTTAGTACAAAGAATCCCTTAATTTAATGTGTGGAAGAAAAGGAGAAGTAGCTGAGAAGGGATGAGCAGAAGGGAGGAGGCATACAGAATGCTTTATCACCGTAATCCAAGGACCCAACATGTCAGAATACTAAGTGCAGCCAACTGTGCCAAATGTCGATGAAAAATAAAATAATAATTAAAAAAAAAAATCAAAGAGAGTGAGGATTGGTAGTGATCTTTGTATTCAGAGATGCAGATTCCCTAAATAAGGATCAAAGGGCAAGTAAGGGCAAAACTGAAGAGAACAGGTGAGGTAGACACTTAACTGGTACATATTCAAAGTGAATGAAAGATGAGAAAACTGTCAACATTTGTTATGAAACATTTAGTTATAAATGACAGATAAGGAACTCTGGAAGAGTTTTTCCATCAGAAAATTTAATAGAATTATATTCTGAGGATCCAAGTGGCTTGAGAATTAAGATCAGTAAAAAAGGCAGAACCCCCAAAACACAAAAGTTTCAGATGTGGTAGAAGGGGATACAATCCATAGCACAGGTGAAGAACTGTCCTTTCACAAGAGAGGAGACGCCATCCTGCACTGAAACAGGAAAATTCAAAACAGGAGAAGAAAAACCAAAAAAAATTGGAGAAAATACAGGGAAACCTATAGATTCAGTGACAAAAAATGAATAGTTCCTACCTAGTGCTTTCTCTTTTCTCTAAAAGGTAGAAAACAAGATGTTTACTAGGAGCAAGGGAGCCAAAGAGGAGCCGGAAGTCTGAAGAGAACTTGTGGAACAAGAGTGAAAATGCTGGGCAGTGTAGAAAATGGGACAGAAGTCTGTGACAATGGACAAACAGTGGTACTGGCACACCTATATGAGATTTCCTCCAGCAGAGGCACGAAAGATAAGTCACTTACTTTGTGTATCTAGCACTGTGGTTACAAGCTGTGTTTGACCAAAAGATGAAGAATTTGACAAAAAAATGTTGATACTAGTTAATTTTTACTGGGCTCTTTAAGTGCTTTACATGAATGGTTCATTTAAGTCTCATCATTACCTTACTCAACTAGTAGAATATTTTTTTTTTCATTTTACAAATGAAGAAGTTGAGACATGAACTAATTGTTTGACCATGGTCACATAAGAAACAGAGCCAGGATTCAAGTTTGACATCACATTGTTAAAAAGAATGGAAACAAAGAATTAAAAAAAAATAAAAAAAAAAAACAGGAGTGTATAAAATTTTAAAACACTTATCAATAGAGCAATGAAAAATGAAATTACAAGTGGTTTTCTACCTTTGTGTTAGATAGCTGGTACAGAATTCAAAACCAAATCAAAAATTTAAAAAGGAAAACAGCAGCAAGCAAACTTATTTCACATTTATGTGCTAGACATTTTATGTTTTCACATGCTATCTCTTTTACCCTCAAAATGGTAACAGAAACTGAATCCATAAGCTGACAGAAAGCGATGCTCAGAAAAGCTAAGTATTGTGTTAGATGTTTTATTCCATCCCTGAAAAATAAAGTGGCCTCTCCCTGACCCCCTCTGCCACTAATCCCTCACAAAACCAGGGGTAAAAGGCTTGACTGAATTCACTCAGCAGAACAAAAAACTTTACAATTGTTTGTTCTCACTGGAAAAACTTTCCTAACACAGCTTTATTCTATTAAGTAAAAGAAACTAGGACAAGTTCTCATCGCTGTATTGCAACTAAAACTAAAAAAACTGAAAATAAAAATCTGAAGAGAGTAAAATGCTGGAAGAAAATCATTGTATCCAAATCCCCAGAGTATAATCTCCTGGAAGCTATCAAATAGCAAAGCTCAAATTAATGCTTTCCAAAAACTTCTTGCTGGGCAGAATCTTCTCTTGATTGATAAAAATGAAAAATAATAAGTGAAAAATGGAATAAATAGTCAAAGAAGCAGATGTCTTTAAGTGACTGGCTACAATGATGCACTGTAAGAATTTACTCTAGGAGAGGTGGATGGCAGGATTAAGAATATAATTATTAGGAAAGTACTTGTATTAATAAGGTTATTTGTCACTGAAAACATAATGCTTAGGTTTTAAAAACTTGTAATGTGTATTTATCTTTCACTACATGTTGACATTTAACCACCCTTACCTTAAGAGATGCTAAATAATGAAACTTTTACATATTTCCTGCTTTGAAAAACAAGTGCTGAATATTAAGAATATTTTTAAACCATTCCTTTTCAGTTTTCCATTCCAGTCATTGAATGACTAAGTGAACAACTAAGACTTCATTTACACAGGCTCAGGTTGGCCCTTACAAAAAAAATACTATTTATTTAACAAGTGTAACAAAAACCAAACTCACCTTCCACAGTGTAGGTACTGTCCAACTAAATGTGACAGAAAGTCATTGTCTTAAAATGTTTAACTTCTTAAGGAAAAAGAAAAAAAACAAACAAAAAGTTCTGCTTACCATATACATTAGTATGTCTCTAATCATCACCATGGCTGTTTGATGATCATTCCAAGCTTGATTTAGTGTTTGAAGAAAGTTGTTATTCAAAGAATTTAGTACATCTTCTCGCACCTATTAACAGAATAGTTCATTAGTTTATTTATGCACATAAACATATATGCATATGTATCTGTTTAATTCTAAATCAAAGAAGTATGTTATAGGCCAGTAGAAATATTTTAAGATATACCCTATATGCAGATAACTACCACATGTATATGTATAGTCTGGAATGCGCTCTTATGAAGCAACCTTCTAGGTTTTTTGGGGTTTTTTTAAAATCAGCAGTACTGGAGTTTAAAATCAGGGCCTGTACTTACTAGGTAGGATTCTACCACCTGAGCCATGACCCAGGGTCTCTGTGTTTAGGTATTTTTTGAATAGGGTCTCCTGTTCTTGCCTGAGCCTGCATGGACCACAATCCTTCCTGTATAGAGCTGGGATGACGGGTCCATGCCTCCAACGACAGTATTTATTGACTGAGATGGGGTTCTCACTAACTTTTTGCTTTGGCTGGCCTTCAATGGTGATCCTCCAAATCGCCCCCTCTCAAATACTGGGATTATAGGCCTGAGCCATCACACACAGCCCCTTCTAGGCATTTTTAACTCTCCAACAGTTCGGCATCATGGTCACAATAATATCCTAAATTCTCATAATAAACCACAAGGCCTTGTCACTGGGCCCATACCACTGCTCCCCCAACTCTGCATAATGGTTACGAGTACTGATTTAAGTCAAACTGCCTGAGTGCCAATACAAACTCTTTGACTAGCAAGGTGACTTAGGATAAATTATTTAATCTCTTGGCCTCAATTTCCTCACTGTGAAATAATATCCTTCCTGTACAACTAGTATAAAGACATTCAGTACATTAATGCAGGTAGAACAGTACCTATCGCCCAGTAAACATTCAATAAACATAACAGTTAACTGTGCTTTGTCATTTTTCCTGCCTCAAGTCACTGTATGTTCAAATAAGAAAAACTAGACAATTATTCTTAAGGACTTAAGTGAACTTGCACATAAACTGTTATCAAGTTAAATGTAAACGATTCAAATTATCCGGATTTTTGAACAAATTTCTAAACAGCAAATAATTTCCAAATGCACTTGGCACATGTTTAATGAGTGAAAAACTGACCAATTAAAAAAATTAATGCTATAAAACATGTTCTCTAAGATCACTGATTCATACATTTTAAAAGTTATCAACTAATCATAGTATTTATCATTTCTATCCGCCTTCTGCAAGATAAAAGGGATCTACCAGCACAATGAGTTGTAAATAACCATGCTATTTGCATCATACTTTAAAAAGTCATCCTGAGAAATCAGTAAGTGAACTTTTACTAAGCAGAAAATAGCTATGAATAAGAGCTAATTTTGTTGGGGTGGGGATTGGGGGTGTTGGAGATGTGGCTCAAGTGGTAGAGCTCCTGCCTAGCAAGTGCAAAGCCCTAAGGTTCAAACTCAGGTACTACCTCACCCCAAAAGAGCTAATTTTTATGGTTATTTTTTAATGATTATGCATACACACATATATGACTAAAAATAAGATATCTTAGTTATTTCAATCTCCTATTATTCAGATCACTATATAAGCAAAAAACTCTTCCTGTAACATTTCCCTAGAAAAAAATTTTCTACTTTTACACATGAAAAATGAGTAAGTATTTGTTCAAACAGCCATAGTAAGATTGTAGGAATGAGATGAAAATTCAACCTCTATGAATATTAAAATAGGCTTTTAAAAATACAGTACTTTCACATATAAAACAAAATGTGCATGAAGTGAAAAAGAATTAACATTATTTTAAAATTTAAAATTTATTAACATAATACAGAAAAACAAAAAGAAAGTCAGGGCAACATGCATGAATGTGGAGTAACATTGCTAATATCATCCACCACTACCATTATTTTTTAGCATTAGCAAGACACTAGCAGTTGTACCAGAATCAAAGGGGCCTACAGATAAGTACTATTGTCATTATGAAAGAGAACCTACACTGAGGTTATATGAATTGGAAGGTGAGAGAAGAGATATGGAAAAACAAGTAGCAATGCCATGGAAGTTGAGGTTACGATGGGACCAAATGTGACAAAAAGGATGAAACTGAAAGGAGCAGCTTAGACTGATGGGTGTGTCTTGGACTCAGACTTGCGAAAGAATGAGAAAGTGGCAGACAGTAGATCAATCAGAGATTAGGACCACTTGAAGAGCTTTTTAAAACAGATTTTAGCCAAGAGAATGAGAAGACAAGCCACAGGCTGGGAGAAAATATTTATAAAAGACATATCTGATAGAAGATTATTACCCCAAAAATGTCTTTCAACAAGTATACAGGTAAATGGATGAGCAAACTGTCATATATTCATACAGCAGAGTATCAGCCAACCTAAAAAGGAACACCAAAAAAAAGGGAACAAACTAGTAGTATTTCTAACAACTTGAATCAGTATCAAAATAATTATGTTGAATGAGGGATTAGAGGTATGCATCAAGCAGTACAGGCTCTAAATTCAAATCCCAGTACCACCAAACCAAACAAACAAAAAAACCCCAAACAATTATGCTGAATGAAAAATGCCAATCTCAAAAGATTACAAACTGTAACTCTACTTATATATTACTTTGTTGTTGTTGCTTTTGTTTTGCTTTTCTGAGACAAGGTCTCAGTATGCAGCCAGGTGGGCCTGGAATTCATGATCCACTTGCCTCTGCCTCCCAAGTGGGATTACAGAGATGTAGCACCATGCCTGGTTTATATGACATTCGTGAAAATACAAAACTACAGTGAGAGAGAAGAGATCAGTAGTTGCCAGAGATTACGGTTTATGAGGAGGATGTAACTATGAAGAGATAGCAGTGAGTTTTCTGGGATAAAGGAACTTTGCTATAACGAGGGCTGTAGTGGTAACATTAATCTATATACATGCTAAAATTCAAATAACTAAACATGAAAATAAAGGCCAATTTCATTATATATTAATTTTTAGAAAACTGTAATTATGATTCTCAAGTTGTGTCCTGTTTATCATAAACTATGATGTCACAAGCACTGCTCATAAAAGCAACTTAAATAACAATGACAGAATTGTTAACTAATTTAAGAGTGTATCAAACCAAGGCTGCAAAAACTAAAATTGCTACTTCTTCATTTCTGCAATTTAAGAATTATTAAGTTAAAGGGAAATCTTTATTTTTCAAAGATAAAATAGAAACTTGGATAAATTAATGTCTAAACTGCAGAACCTGTATCTCAGATTGATCAGACTACTGGTAAAAGGAAGAATGGAAGTTGACAAAGGGATGACAGGAGAGGGCATCAGAAAGATGATGCTTTGCTCTTGAATTTTCATATCCAAACATCTTTCCATGGACTGACAAGGAAGTTAACGCTAGTCCCAAGATTCTGCGCTAGATGCAGAGATAAAGGACATAATCTGCACAGTACTCCCCCCACCACACATACCCTCCCAATATACAATTTTAACTATTAATGAAAAAAATTTCCCCCTTTAAATTTCAATGCCTGAGGCAAAATCCCAGACAGGCAATCCTAATTATATGTCTAGGTAAGAGAAAGAAGTCATCACCTAAAACAAATTTCAAAGACTTAACAGGGCTATACAATCAGTAATGATATAGAATATTGAAAATGGAGGACTTTCTTCCATTTAAAAAAAATGCAAAATTCAGGACAATATTTAGTTAAAATATAGACAAATTCCTAATGTACAGAAGTTTATACTTAGCACTGCACTACACTGACAAAATGTAAGGTATATTTAAAAACATGAAATAGGGTATGAATAAAACGGAACACATGCTAACAATACAAGGAACATAAAAAATACAACAGTGGGTAAAGGCGTGAGCTGGCCTAACAATCTTGAGGTCAAACTCTTAGTAACGCCAAGAAAACAAAAAGTATAACAAAAGTATCATAGCTTTAAGAGATACGTCCCTTCTAGAAATGTGTGATATTTTAACACTCATCCAGAAGCCAAAATAATCAAAATCAGTATTTGCAGATATCTGCACCTATGTATGTCATCCGGAACTCCTCTTACCTGTAATATGACTGTGGTTAAGCAGGTCAATGACATGTTCTACTGAGATGCTATACTTAATACTACTACAGCAAGGCTCTATTTCTCCTAATTAAATATTATTTATATTGGTTTTTTTACTTTTTCAAGGGGGTTCCCACCATTTTATTATAGCAGAGCCAATGGATGCCTGCTAGGTATCTTTCTGCCTCTAAACTCTAAAATATGTTGCTTGTTCCATCCCAATGAAGCTAGTTTAATGCACAAATATGCAACATTTATCATAATGTTTAAAAACAGCATGTGTTTAAACTTACAATTTTTAAATTTTCATCCTATATCAATAATGATGTGGTCAGGGACTTTGTCGTTTTATAAGGTTTGCTCATTGGGTAAATCTTATTTTTCCAAAGAATGCCATTAGAAGAGAATTCTTGAAGATCTCAAAATTTCACTTTATCACACAAGAATGATATGTCACAAATCTATCCATAAAAGTTTCTTACTAAAGCAGAGTCTCAAAAGGAATCATGTCATGGGGATTGATAGAACAATAATGTCGCCATTTTGTGAATCAGCCAAAAGGCAGCCCCGCCCTTAAACAAATTCCCGCACTCTAAGACAGCCCCACCCCTACCAGAGAATACAGCACCTGTACTAACTTCCTTACCCTCCCCTTCTATAAAAGCCACTGCTCTCCCAGGCTCTGGGCTGCGCCATCTTTTCCCTGGCCAGCCTGGCAGTTTGGGCCTGCCATTAAACCTTGCTCTATGGACGTGAATTTTCTCATGAGCTTTCTTTGAGAGTGGCGTTTTTCCTAACAGGGATAAAGGCCATCTCTCCCCAATTTGACATGGTTTGAAAAAACCTCCATGGCTCGTCACTTTACCCCAAGAATTCTTGACTTGAAAGGCTAAAAAGATACAGAGCAATGAATGTGTTGCTATTTTTTATAGAAGTAACATAGTATATGTACACACATATAATATTCCTATGTAATGAATAATCACAGC